TGGGGGGGAGGGTTCAGCGGCTCCCTGAGGGCAGCTTCGCCACTGTAGCCAGCTGGGGTTGGACACGCCCTGGGAGAGCGTGAGAGCAGAGTGCTGACTTCTTACTGCACGACACTCAGGCTGGGAAGGGGCAGCAGCAAGGACGTGGGAAAGGGACAAAAGGGCTCTTTTCCGTGTCACACAATAGAAGAAAGATGAGTTAACGTGTTTCAGCTACATTCTCACCCCAGCATCCACGAAAACTATTCATTCCAACTGGCTGGCCTGACCTGTGTCCACATCCAGTACCCCACAGACTAATATTAAAGAACCTAACGACCTACCGTCTCAAACCTGAGAAAGGGTAGTTTACAAAACCCCATGGGGCATTTAGAACTCAAGGAAGATGGTTTTATGGCAGGTGTGCAAAGAAGCTGGCCAACCTGGCAGGAGGTCTAGATGAGATTAAGTGTTGGGGTTTTTAACCTCAGGGCTATTTTGTGAGCGACCTGCTCTGCCCTTTCCACACCTCAGGCACCATTTTTAAAAGTCCAGTCTAAGAGTTTTCTTAAAAAACTGCTTTGATGGGGCTAACACCTTTCGAGAGAATTAGCTTAAAGGTCCACTTCCAGCCTTTGGCATTTGAAAGACTCCAGAGCCCACTGTAATTTCTTCTGACACCCAGAAACCTCAGCAACGGTGAACCTGGGGCCATAAAGCCAAGACGCTGTCCTGGCCAGCCCACCCTATGGCCCTGGGTGTAACTGACCCTAACCCTAATCTCCTTGAAGCCAGTGTTGCCAAGGGACAGATGTGTCCTTTCAAGACTAGAGAAGAAGAGTTCTAGGAACCGTCCCTTCCTGCCCTGCCTTCACCTTTCAAACGACGACCACGAAACAGCTGTGACAGGATGGACTCTGGAAAGGGAGATGATGGCTCCTCTTACCTAGTCCAGCTGAGCCCTAAAGGGAGACTGACTTCACAGGCTGCCTCATCACTGGGACAGAAAACTTACCTTCCCTCTCCAACTCTGGGAGAATATGCACCGAGAGTTTCCCAAACGGTGCATGTTTACTAAAATGCTACCGTGAGGACCAGGCTTTGCAGTCCATTCCTTTTATAGCCACCTGTCTTTTGGGAACCCACGGCATCATGTGAAGTGTGTCCTTGTCTGAAATCTAACATGAAAACCATCAAAAAGAGCACATCCTTGATGCCTGTTTTCAGAGACAATGTAAACTATAATCAGTGCCCACGTAATATACGCAAAAAAGCCTGAACATGTCCTTCAGCTGTTACTGAAACAAGAAATGCATGTTTGAGGGCCAGAGATACAGTTCAGTGACGCAGTGCCAACTTAGCAAGCACAAGATTATGAGTTCAATTCCCGGTACCAAAGAAATTCATGTTTGATGACAGCAATGAGGTCTGTTTATTTTTTTCAAAGCAGCCCGATAATGGGCTCTACTGGATGTCATGAAGCCTTAAGATATGACACAAGCCGACTTCAACTCTGCATCTGACTGAGACATCTAAGCAAGACGCTGCCTCCTCCAAAGCACAAAACTACAGATTATAAAATGCCCCAAATCTCACGTATCACAGTCTTTCAGTAGGTGGCAGCTGAGATGCGGTTGTCATTGCCTCACTCCTGTAAGCACAGCATCAAAACTTGTAGAGTGGGAGTCAGTAGCTTAGAAAAAAATTCTGGAGCCAACAGTAGAAGATGCTCTTCAGGAATGCCAGTGTCGCCAATACCTAACGTGGCACAGACAACAGCACCGCTCAGGAAAACACAGACAGTGACAACTCTGGGTCATAAAGTGGTTTAAAAATACCGGACTCAAAATGTGAAGTTTCAGGAGTGTCTTGCTTGTTTCTTCATGTATATGAATTGAGTGTGATAGTATGGAAATCTCTAAAGAAGTCTAAAAGCTCTTTCAATAAATTTTAAAAATTGAAAGCATTTTCCTTTAACTGGCTCGTTTTTCTTAATGATTCACAAAATAAACATGTGCCTTCCAACTCTGGTATCTGAGGTTCTAGCAAACATAGCTCTCTGTTCAGGAGGCTGGCGCTAAAGAAACTTGGGGATCCCTGTTTAAGCATTTCCCCAGGACTGACTGAGCTAGTCAGTGGGTAGGTCGGGGAGCCACTGCCTTAGGCTGCTGCTCAAAGGTCTGGAACTCAGCACAGGTTTCAGGCCAAATTGTCAATGAAGGAAAATGTGTTACTACTTCAGCCAATTTTTAAAAATCAATTTGCACAACTACAAAGAGCCATCTGCATCCTTTCCCTTTCACTTCTGATTTTAAGACTGTTCTGGTTTTTATCCTCTTCCCACTGAACGTTGCCAGTCTTGAGTATTGGCACAGCCGCACGCTCACGAAGCTCTGTGGTGTTCCACGCTGTTATCACTTACCTTTCCCTAGCATCAGCCAGTGCTACTGAAGTTTATTTTATCTGTTCTTACTACATTCAGGTATCACTATCCAAGAGGTATTAAAATTCGATGAGCTACTATCTTCCCCTAGGTTTTAACAGTCATGGGATCACTTTTCAGTTAAGGTGCCTGAGGTCACAGGAAAATTATTTACAAAGATGACCTCTCCTCTCCCTGCACTCCTTTTTAGGAAAGAATTAAATATCATATCATACTTATATTAAAGGCTAAGGTTATGTTTTAGATTTGTTTTAACCTTTGGGGGAAAATAAAAAAAAAAAAAATACACAGTGAAGGCTGGAATGTAAAAGGGCTGATCTTAGCAACTTCTAGGCAAGCAGTGAAATCAACTGCTTGACCCCTCTGGCTGCTCTGTTTTGGTGGGGGACTGTGAGTTCGCTAAGGGCGTGCTCAAGCTGTCGCTGCACTAAGGGTCTCACCCTCCCAAATTTCCCAGGAGTGCAGGTTTGCACCGCAACTCTGAGGAGGTGCTCACATTACCTCTGGGACAGCTTGTAAGGTTAGAGTGGACATGGCCCATCAGAGCAAGATGTGGAGAGGAGGGCTGGCCCCAAGGCTCATTTCCAACCCTTCAAAATCCACTCATCACCTGAGAGACTGGACAGACTGTGGGAGTGTAGCCAGTGTCACCCCAGGGTTGGAAAAGACAACAGAAAGGCACTGGGCCCATTTCCAGCCTGGCTTTGCTAAGCCCGCCGTGTGAGCTCAGCCATGCCCAACCCTGAGCACACAGTCCCTTCTGCCACTGAGGCAAAAGCAGCTGCCTTGTGCTCAGACCACTCCTGCACAGTTCTCACGAGCCTGCCGCGCTGCAGCTGGAGGGCCCAGCCTAGGCTCCTGCCTACTGAGATGGGGGCGTGTGGTTTTCTGGCCACTCTGGGGTAAAAAGGAGTGCAGCACTGGCTCCTACTCTCACCTAGGAAGATACTTTGGGAACAAGGGATGGGACTGGTGGTGAAATGAAAATGTCTGGAGGCAAGAGCAGCTTTGCCCTCGGGAAGAGTGGCCACTTCTAAGATACCCAGCCACTCAAAGGCAACTTTTACCTAGAGAAGCAAACAGTGAGTAGTAAGGTTCATGCCAGATGGTGAATGCTAAAGGTGAACAAGTACAGAGTAGTCTTTTGAACCAACAGAAAGCTGAAGATGAGGCCTAGGAAATCACCCAGTTTCCTCATAGGGGCATACTGCAAAGGCTTTTATAGCCATGAAGAAAGAACTAAGTGCAAATCTCCTTACTACTCTACCTGGCCCCTGCTCTCCAAAACAGTGATGACAGGCTGTGAATGACATATGGGCCCCTACAGCCAGGGCCCCTCTCCCAGCCACGAACTTACTGACCAGCAGCTGAAAGAACAGTATGTGTGCATGAGATGAGCCCAGAAGTGCGGAACTGAGAAATCACTGGGGAACCAGGGACAAGGACTCAGGGGCTCCAAGCCGCCATCTTTGCCTTCACCAGAATAGCTCTGCCTGATGTTTTACACTGGGGGTTCCTGCACAGACAAAGGTCTGCTAATGCTGAAACCTCTGATCTAATCTAACCCTTTCATGACAACTGGGCAAGAAGCTGGGAGCTGCTGCACATCAATAAGAGCCTTAAGAGTTTTCTTTCCCACCACTCCGCCAGCATGGCTAGGCACCACTACAGTGCCTCTTGGTAAAGCTGCTTAGGATAAAAACCTCCCAGAACAATGAATAACAGGTAGTCCTGCCCATATATTAACAGAAATGTTTGAAAACGTATTGTACTACTGTTTCCTATTCACTTAAAAATTTGACTCAATTTTCATTCTTCTATAGTTTTAAAACTATATAAAAGTATGCTGTTTATGCTGCTGTAAGCAAGCAGTGTTCAGAATCTGATGCAGTCACAGACTCCCAGCTTATACATTCGATTCCTTGGTGTCTATGTCTTGCTATCAAACACTTGCTAGCATCAACCTGTGGAAATGAGAAACCCAGATCCAAGTGACCTCTAATCTCGGAACTACACTATTTGTCCCGCAGGGCTGTGTGGAGCACAGCTGGAGGACCAGCCTCCAAATGTATTCCAGTTACTCCAGCACCTGCCAAGCTCCTTCCCTAAAGTTCTGATCCTTAACCCAAATTTCCACATGGAGCCTGGGCCATTCCCAGGCTACCCCCCTGAAAGTCACTTAAGACTGGAAACCAGCACCAAAAATTGACATTAACAGTTCAATGTATAAGACATCTCTCGCCGGGCATGGTGGCGCACACCTGTAATCCCAGCACTTGGGAGGCTGAGACAGGATGATCTTTGCGAGTTCGAGGTCAGCCTGAGCTGCAAAGTGAGCTCAAGGCCAGCCTGAACTTCATATCGAGACCCTGTCTCAAAAAAGACAGAAAGAGAAAAAAAAAAAAAGACATCTCCCGAGGCTCCATCAATCTTTTTTGCCCCATCCCCACAGCTGCTGTCCATCGGCACATTCCGTGTCAAACAGAAGAGACACTGGAACCCAGCTTCATATGCTCCAGCTTCATATGCTCCAGCTCCTTTCTCAGTGGATGGCAGGAACACAATAAAGCAACTTTAATCCTTTTTTCTGTGAAATTTATTGTTTCCACATTAAAAGATTTTGGGGGGAAGAAGGGAAGTGTTTTTTTAACCACATGATGACCCTATACAACTGCCCAGAGTAGGACACCATCGTAAGTCATTAACATGCCATATGAGTTCTGAATAAATAAAAGCTACAAAGCCCAAGTTATATACAAATATCTTAGGCAATAATGTTTACAAACCTATGTACAATAAAACAAATGTAAACAGTAAATGCAGCATGAGAGTAATCAAAGGATGCACAGGGACAACCACTTTTGGTCAGTCTGCCGGGAGCTGGCACCACCAGCCCCCAGAATGAGGCCACCCAATCCTTCCCTATGAAACTGGATGGACCCTCAGACATGAAAACAAAAATCTGAAAATATTACTCAACTGAAGGACCAGAGAGCTGGTGAGGAGGCTGCCACCTACCTCCGCTGAGTCTGAGGCATGTGGAAGAGGAGGCGACAGAGAGGCTCAGGCTTGGGAGTGCCCAGGCCCTGGAAGCTCCTGCCACCTGTGGCTCAGACAGCATTTCGCTGTTTTGGGAGGCAAGCGGATGGAATGGTGACTACTTACGTAAAATGCAGAGACTGTTCCCTAATTCAGTGACCTTCCCGACTGCCAGAAACAGGCCCCAACTGTAAGGGTGAACTGGGGACACATGATTATGAGCACTGAAGATGCTTTGATGGGAGCTCAGGAGGAGGGCACATGTTAACCTGATTTGGGGAAGAACTTCTAGAGATCTGCAATGTCCTAAACACAACTAAATCCTATCAGCACAGCAGAGTGGGGGTTATGAGGCAGGTGTGATGAATGGGTACTTCTGCATCCAGTGACCAAGTAATACACGTATGTATCACCTTGTGACCCACAAAAGTGCAATCATGTGAAACCAACGGCACTACGGCAAGAAGAGAAAATAGCCAGTATTGAGATCGCGCAGAGTCCTGGGGCTGGGCAGGGCCCAGCAGCCGCCACTGCATGCAGCCTGCCCTCTGCCAGCCGTGGGGAGGCAGGAAGAGGGGCACAGGGCCGGGCCCAGGCACCGAAGGGTGAGGCGTGGGTGTCCTGGGTTGTTGGAGGAGGGCAGGAGCCTCCACCTGGAGGCCGGGCACTCACACACTGAGAGGCAGCATACCCGGTGCTGATGACGGACGCGAGGAGCCCAGACCAGGAGGAGGAGGAGCGGGGTCAAAGCCATTTACTGCCCTGCAGGGGTGACGAGAGCAGAAAAGAGAGAGGAAGAGAAAGAGATTATCACTTAAAATCACCACACGACAAAAAAATCCACTTGCTTTCTATAGTCCCCTTCCTGGCCCATAGTAGGCCCCTGAAGCCTGAGGGCGAGAGGCTGCCCAGACAGTGTCAGCTGGCGAAAGAATAGAGAATTTACAGTCAAATGCCAGCCCATCTGCCCTTTCTTGGCAACTACATCACACTGACCATTGTGGTCCTGATTTTTTTCCTATAGAGCAGGTCTAAATGCCTGGTCACAGGGAACCAGGTAAATAAATAATTGTACGATAAAATATTATCTAACCACTAAAAATATACTTTTTTTCTTAGTTTTTAATAGTACAGGATAAATATTCAAAATGTACTTAATGCTAACTAGAAAAGGAAGCAGGCTATGAAACTGCGTATGTTCTGTGGTGTAAAGGAAGGAAAAAGTAAGTAGTGTATATACTAGACTCTATACTATAACCCCTGATATAGACATTACTGTGTAGCCAAATCCAGAACGTGAGGATTTTAGATATATATGCACATGAATATAAAATGTGTGAATTCTATATATACATAATGTATACATACACATGTGTATCAGCTCTGAAGGAAAATTTAAGTTACTTTTCTTCTAGGTTAATTTTCCACTACTTTATTATTTCCAAATCTCTTAAAATGTACATAAGTATCTTAATAAGGGAGAGAAAAATAACTTATTATAAATTGTTTAGCAAGCAACACCAAATAGTAGACTACAGACTAATATGCAGGCAGCCCAGCCCTGCACAAGCACCAGTGGTCAGGTGGCGCTCCCAGGCCTACCCCACCCCACCCCCGCACCTCCCAGCCTCCCCATCCCCGCAGCACAGCCACAGGAAGCCACAGCAATCAAAGGAGGGAAGGAAGGAAGGAAGGAAGGAAGGAAGGAAGGAAGGAAGGAAGGAAGGAGGGGCCTGGAACCTCTCTGGGGCTACTTCAGCCTTTCTGTCCTGAAAAACTTCCTAGGAGAATTTGGCCCAGTAGCTACTTGGGGGAAGAAAGCCAGCCAGCCACAAGGAACCACCCTGTACCACACTTGCTCACATGCCCCAGCTTGTACAGGGGGCCAGGGAGCAGAACATAACAGAATCATAGAGAGGTTCTCTTTAAAAAAAAAAAAGGTGAAGCCACACATCTCTGCACCCACTACAGTGTCACAGGCTGAAAAGGAGAGAGGAGCAGGCATGCAGACTTAACAGAAAACCCCTAGCTACTCTGAAGAAATTGAGCTCAAGTCTTAAGAAAATAAACACACCACATTCAGAATCTGAAATCAAGCCACACACAGAAACCAAGAGCAAAACTCTGACATATGTACTTTCTCCCTGATGTACATGGTCCTACTTCAGGGATGGACAAACTGGATTTTCCCTTTTTAGGCTAAGGGAGGTCTGACTTTTGAGCTTCATTTGAACACTTTAAATCACCCATTTGCACTCTCCCAAGGCTACATGCTCCTACTCTTCTAAGGTAGAAGGCCACATCCTGTGTGCCACTGTGGTGCTCACCTAATGAGCCCCATATGTCATTATCTGACTAGTCCCAGAGTCCCCATTACCTCCTTCTCCTAGAACCCTCAGGAAGAACTAGACAAAGCCTCAGCTTCCAATATGTGAATCTCAGTTTCCCAGCCTCACAGATCACTGCATTAGGGGAAGCTGTACTGCAGAGGCCCTAAGACCCAGAAGAGAGCAGGAGTACACTGGGTTGCCAAGATAATTCTAGTACCTGGTCCACCAGAGCATGCAAAGGCAGCCACCACAAGGGTGGCTCCAAATACAGGTTTAGAGGCAGGATAACCAGCATTTTCCAGAGATGGGCTTTTAAGAAATATCAACTTCATCCCCACTGTGACATAGCCAAGGAAATCAAAGGGAGAGAGCTCTGGTCATGAACTCCAGCTCACCTTGTGAGCTATCAGTGGAAAAGTCAGAGGGGATCTGCCTCCAGATACCTAGGGCACTAACTCTTTCCAACCTCCTCTGGTCAGAGGAGCACTCAGCAAGTAACCACTGTGCCCCCAGTACAGATCAGCTCTAATAAGAGAAACAACCCAGGATACAAAGGGAGAACTGAAACTAGGTAAGTAATTTCTCTGCGTGGATGTAGGAGGCTAAAGCCAGAGGGAAGAGGCGGCTGACACCAGCATTTTTAGTCCAGTGAGGCTCCTTCAAATAACTGCAAACTTGTGCAATAAAGAAAGGTTCCCAAGAGAAGAAACACCTTCATATACACCAGAAAGCGAAAGAGCTGCTGAGAAATGCTTCCATGGCCCACACAGGACTGAATGGAGGGAACAGGCAAGGATGGTGAGACAGACCTGGGAATCCTTGATGGAAAACTTTCCAGACCTGTGTAATTCACAATTTTATTTAAAAGTGATAAACAGAGACTCCAGCTAAGAAAACATGCTAAGGTCAGCTGTAAAATGGCAACAGAAGGTATTAAGAAGAGAAACCAGCAATGCACATCTAAAAGCCAGTCAGGAAAGGACAGTAAGTCTAACACAGCAGAGAGAAAGGAGAGAAAGAAGCAAGTTTGTTACACCTGAGAAGGCAACAGAGACAATGAGGACAATCCGAGCTGACTCACAACAGCAGGAACACTCCAGAGCCTGGGCTCCCCGTCAGCGGATAAAAAGAAACTCAGCAGCCCTAACCAACTCAATCCTCAGCCCAGGCTCTGAGAACAGAAAAGCAGTTCTGAAATGTAAGGCCGACATCTCATCTACCATTCCAGTTTAATGCTGGGAACACAAGAGCCAAGTGCAGAGCCAAAGGGGGCCTTGTCTGAGAAAACAAGTTTACTGGAGGACCGAAGGAGCTCCAACCCTTGAAGACAGACAAATGTGATCCTAGGACCTGACAATGACACAGAGCCCTACCCCGGACTCTGACATCATCAGTAGTGTCCTGCCCCATGTGGGGAGTGCCACCAGGCATGCTATCACAGCTGCCCAAGATTACTGCACTGATGGTTTGTTCTGCTGAGATGGGTTCTCAGTATGTTGACCTCAAACTCCTGGAGTCAAGTGAGCCTCTCACCTCGGCCTCCCAAGTAGCAAGGACTGCAGGCAGGTACCACTGCACACAGCCCCTGAAGTGCTTTTGTTCTGCACTGCTAAATGCATAGTAGTAGTATATAGTCCAGGCTCACTCACGGGCTGAAAGTTGGTTAAAGCTGAGTCAGCCCCCATGCAGTTAGTAAAACCAGTTTGTTAATGTTTCTTCCACCACACACCATGATTAAGAAAGGGAAAGAGCACAGCAAACAAATTCAGTTACCCATGAACAACGTGGGAAATATGACTTTTTCTTGCCTAATAAAAAAAGGAAAAAACATTAAATAATAATACAAATACTATTTTCATATCGTGCACTAAAATTAGTCCATGCCCACCTATACACAGCCCAAAAGAAAGACTGCCTTGCAAAAAAATAGGGCAAGTGAAATATAAGAAACTAGGGATAAGGAGAAAAAAAATACAGTTTAGAGCAAATTCAAGTGACTGTACTTCTCATGAGGTGGGAGGAACCAGTGCAAGTAGGCACAGCAGCCTGTGTTTCAGAGACTGGCAGAGTGACTCCAGACTAGATAAAAAAATCTCAGTTCCAAGAAGCCTTCAACTAAACAGAATTTACAAAATACTTCTGAATCCTATAAAGCAATGTACTTCATTTAGGTCTGGCTTTATGTGGTAAAGCTTCACTACATCTGAAGGCTGTGTGAGCACACGAGCCCACTGATAAATTCCTCCCCGAAACAACCCACCTTTGCGATCTCCAGTCACACACACAGGCTACAGTACAGACTCCTCAAGAGAGGCCCAGCAGGCAAGTTCTAGAGCCAAGGGCTTTTTAAAATGGAAAGATTTTTCACACGCTGAAATAGCAGGTCTTCTTTAAAGACTCAGGTTTTTTCTCTTTTTTGACAGAGTCTCACTATATAGTTTAAGCTCGCCTTGAACTCATTATTATAGTCCAGCCTCGCCTCGAACTCATGGCAATCCTCCTGCCTCATCCTCCCAAGTGCTGGGATTACAAGTTATATCACCACACCCAACTAGGACTGGTTTCTTTTTTGCAACCTGCTAGATTTAATGGTGGACCTGGGACTCATGCTTTCCCTCTCTCCTTCTGCAACTGGTACATACCATCTTGGTTTTTATCTACTGGACAGGTCAGGAGAAGAAAGACGAGAGATGAAACACCAAACAGCCCTGAGAAAGTCAGAATCAGAGCAAAGCAGCAAAGAATTAAAAACAGCAAACCCTGAGAGCTAGCCTCAAGAATATGGTAACTAGACAAAGATTGTTCAAGCAACAGCAGACTAATATTGCAGGGGACATATACAATCCATTTGTCAAATAAATTAACACTTAAACAAGGGCCATCCCATAAAAGCACACTTCATTATGCCCACAGTACAAAATAAAATTTGTAAGATATTGGGCCAAAACTAAGCACCATAAGAAACTGATTCAATCAGAAGTACCTTTCCAGGTTCAGTTCAGAAACAAGGCCTACACTGCATCTAGGCTGTTCCTCAGGAGCAGGGATCCAGGCAGAGAGCCCAAGACACTCCTGTTTTCACCTTGCACTGAATCCTCACATCTCCCCAAGACCAGGCTCGTGTCTGGGAAACTGCAGCCCCAGTTCTCTGCAAGTCAAAGGCAGGAGCAGCAGCCAGGACAGACAGTATGTTCTCTCCCTTGTGAACGTCCTGAAGCACTTTCCACACAAAGGTACCTGTCCAACCAATTCAGCTCTGGCCCACGCCTGTTCTCATGTCATAAGGTACCCAAGGTCCATCCAGAAACTACTCTACTAAAGGGAATTACAAGTTGCAAGAAAAAATAATTAGACTGTTTCCAACACTCTTGAAGACTTCCCCTAAGCTTTCTCCACATCATTTGAGGGAAAGCGCTACTCTAATGTAGAATAGTACACTCCATGTATTGTAGGAGTATAAAAACAATTTTAGTACATACGCTGCCATATAGTATAAAAACAGAACACTCCGCAAGTTTGCCTGAAACTCCTAAGCCTAAGGAAAATTAACGTCATACTTAGCCTACCTGGAGAACTCCCATAATTAGAATATAGAGTGCTGCTTTATATACTGGTATTTTAGAATGCATTTTTAATAGACTGTCCTTAAAGAAATGTGTATACTTCAGGGTGGAATTCTCTTAAGTAACAGAGATGAATCAGAACACTCCACTATGAGGATAAATAGTAAAATCAGGGGCTGGGGATTTAGCTCAGTGGCACAGCGCCTGCCTGGCAAGCGCAAGGTCGTGAGTTCGGTTCCCGGTACCAGAAAAAAACCAAGAAAAAAAAAAAAAAAATAGTAAAATCATTTTCAGGAGTGCATTGTGTATCAACTCTGGCCCACTGTAACATGTCAAAATTATTGAGGGCACCAAAAAAATATAAGCTCCTTTAAGAAATTATGTAAATTTCTAGCATTGTCCCTGCATTGCTTCAATAGAAAAACAAGAAAGAAGTACTAGTACGACTCAAAGCGGACAGCAGCAGAGGGTCATGAGGGCCCAGGTGCTAGTCCAGCAAAACAACCTAAGGTAAGATGGTCAGCATCCCCAGACCACAGCCCATAACTAGTTCCCTGTACCAAGGCATGTCCATAATGAAAGGATACCATGCACCACTTAAGTTTAAAAGTATCAGGTGTAACTACATGTCCTAATATGGGAAGATCCTGGCAATGTAAGTCATGACAGGTACGCTGCACAGCAATACTTAAGTATAATCCTGGGTGTTGCATAAAGTTTATAGAAGATGCATAAAAATATGATTTTACATCCTTAAGAATAAGGAATGCAAAAAATAGTGTAAAAACAGACAATTACTTTTCACTTCACATGAGTCTACACCAACTGGAATTTTTTACATTAAGGATATATCACTGCTTCAATCTTAAAATGATTTTTTTAAATGTCAATCATCCTAAAAATCTTCACTTCATACAGAAGTTGCATCTCCTACACTGAGTGTCTAAGTACTTCAGGGCTTTGTATATTTCTAAAATCTTCAGATAAAGGGTTTGCTACAGAGTGTACATATACATAATTACAGTGTTCTCTTCTGCTTTTAAAAGACATGCTGAGCAAGTCTACCAAGCTGTAAGCACATTCCAGCCAAGCAGAACCTCCTGAGCCCAGCACTACTGCCTTTTAGGAGTCTGCTCCCAGAACAAAAGGTTCCTGGGGCAACAGGCTCCATGGGGATCAAAACACGACAACAGACTTCTGTCCCCCAAGATTTGAATGAGAATAGGCTTCAGGTAGGTTTATCAAACTGAAATTGTCTTAAGATTTCAGGAACCTCAGTTAATAATCTGAAACATTACTGCTCCAAAACTGATCACTTAAAAAGTGCAAGACTTACCCTTTGTCGAAGAAAGACGTGTGCCCTGATCGAGAGAACTTTGTGCCATTGCTATTCATCACTCCACAGTTAACATTCCCTGAAATGTAAGATTTGCGTGCTGCTTGGTCCTTTGCAAAATTCCTGCAAGCTGCTAACTTGGATTCTAAAGCCTAAAAAAAAGGAAGAAGGAATGATGTGGTTGTCAAAACAGTAGCTGCATAGAAAAATTTGCATTTCAAAACATTTCTATTTCAAGTCTTAAGTTATACTCAAAATAACTTTCTTTCTTTTGAGTGTGTGTGTCTTCTTGAAACAGGGTTTCACTATGCAGTTCAGGATGGCCTTGAACTAACATTGTATCCCAGACTGGCCTCAAACTCACAGCAATCCTCCTGCCTCAGCCTCTCCAGGGCATGTGCCCAAAATAACTTCCTAATAGAAAAAGCAAGTGTTTATGCTGACTGCCTTTCTAATGAATATTTTACTTATTCCTCTCAGTATTACTGGTTGGAGTTGGGGTTGGGGTGGGTAGGTGTGTGTTTCTTTGGATTATAAAGAATTCAAAAACATTTGAGAATGTTTTTAATGCAACCAATTCTTTTAATAGGTTCTTCACTCTAGTTTTTTCCACTGTACCAGAATGGATGCAAGAACTCACACCACCTCACATGAAATGAAATGTTATTTTACTCCAGAAAGCACACTGTAAAATGTTTAACTTCTTGAAACCCTTTGTCTGTAATTAAAAATTCACAGGCAATTGATACTGGCTGGCCTTTTAATATTTGCCTCTAAATCTAGTGCCTTTACATCTGTCACAACCCCTGGCAAGGGCCAAGCTCTGTCAACAGATGATGTGAAAAGAACAGAAGTTTCTCAATTATTTCCACACATGCAGATATCACCAACTCCCCCTTTCCCATCAACACTTTTTGACCACTCCCCAAAAAGGAAAATACAAGCTATGCCAACTTAAAAAAAAAAAAAAAAAAAAAATTTGGTGCTCTTCTGTTATCCATGACACTAAAGAATTAGAAATTCAGATAAATCCACAGATAACATACACTTCATTATGAGAATCCATTTGGACATCTCAACCCCACAATTTCAGAAAGTTATAGCAACAAAAACAGACTGCTATTTCTTTCTCTTCTTTCTTTCTCTTCCCTATGACAAAAGTACAATAAGCTAATAAAATAATGATGAGGAAAGAAAGGTAATGAACTTGTAGGATAAGCTGAGTGAACCTCAGTGACTTGCACATATACACATCCACAGCAGACATTGAGAACCATTAATTCCCTATATTCAAGGAAGATACTTGTCCATTCATTTAAATATCTGCCGAGCATCTATCGTATGCTAGGCACAAGTTGTGTTTAAAGCACCAGTGAGACATTTAATACAAGCACCTGATCCTTTCAAGCCAAAAGGGGGTCTACAGATGAAGATTTAGAAGCTATCCAAACCTAGAATTAGATGAAACCACAGCTGAATACGAAAATCAGAAAGTACAAAACTCTTAGCAAAAATAACATTGAAAAGGTGGACAGATCAAGACCCAACAAGATGACTAAGAGAAATAGGAGACAGGTGGGAGCAGCCACTGAATAGCATCAGGGAAGCATAGGACATTTAGGGGGCGGGGGTGGGGGTGAGGAGGGGTCAGTGTTGAAGTGTTGAACGTCTCAAAATTAGAACCAACACACTGGATTTGACAGCATGGAGACCATGGTGCGTAGTTTTAGTGGAATGTTAACAGTACTGCACATACATTTTCAAAAAGCTTAGCTGTCAAGGGAAGAGAAAAGGGTAGTGGCTAAGGAGAGAGTGCACAAAAGGAAAGTACAGCCGCTCTCCTTTTAGCTTTTTAAGATTAAAAAAATTATGTAAGGTTAGGAATGTAGCTCAGTGGCGAAGTACATGCTTAGCATGCAGGGAGCCCTGGGTTTGATCCCAGGGCAGGGGGGTTAATATGTAACACATAAACATTACATATAGAGTATACAGTACATAGATAATAAGTATTGTGTAACACATAAGTATTAACACATATATAGAGAAATAAAGGTAAGAAAGTGGGAAGGATTGAGATCCAAAGGACAGAGATACAAAATTAGCCATGGGCAGGAATCTGACGCTTCTGCCACTGAGACAAAAAGGAATAATGATAGGAGGGAAGTAACCAGTGAGAGAAGAATTCAAATAAGTTTAAATCAAAGGCTTTGGTTTTCTCTGTGAAGAGGATATAAGAGTAGGGAAGGAGCTTCCAGTTCAAGTCAGTAGCTGGAGTTATACACAGAGCTGTTCCACAAAGAGTTGTGAAATATGCGTGAAAATATGCAGGGGTGGATGGATAACAGCACAAAAAGTTTGGTGACTTCTTAGAAGACTTAACTGAATGGGTGAACCATGTGAGGCTACAAATAAAATTTCATTACTGTATCTAACAAATTACTTATAGTACTAAAGCAGAACAAACAAAAAATAACACGCGGGAGGGGGACAGGAAAATAATCAGAGTGTAAGAAATTCAAGGCTGACCCTGGGGCCACACAGCCCTAGAAGCCAATCAGTATATTCCCAAGGAGCATGAATGAGAAGCTGGAAGAGATGAGACACCACGAAGTGTATGTTTCTTCCACCATAAGAAGGAAAGGTTATTCAAAATGCTAGGAAAAAGAAAAAGGGTTGTAATTATAAATATGACATCATTTTGAGTAAATGGTAATTAAGGAACAAAATGTTGAAAAGATTTGTTGAGTGGCACAAATATGAAGAGCCTAGTTCCTGCCCTGGTTATACAGTAAATGATACATGTGTACCATACTGTAAAGGACATTTGACCAACTTTTCAGTATTTAGAACCAACCAACTGGGAACCCACAACCAAAAGCATTCAAGAAGGGAAAGTGGGACAGCAAGTGAGAAGGCACCAAATAGGGGTGTTGAGGTACAGTTTAACAAATTCAAAAACAAGTTTAACAATACAATAGTTATTTGGGGCTCGGGATACCATTCAATGGTAAAGTGTATGCTTAACGTGTGAGACCCTGGGTTTAATTCCCAGCACCAACAAACAAAAACAGCAAAAAAAGTTATTAAAAAAAAAAATTTTTATTTGTTTTTTTTCTGGTACGGGGAATCAAACTCACAACCTTGCGTTGCCAGGCAGGCGCTGTGCTGCTGAGCTAAATCCCCAGCCCCTAAAATTTTTAAAAATAACAGAAAATAAAAATTAAATTTGGAGGAGGTGGGTTAAATTTTGTATCTTTTTTGTGCTTAAAGTTGATTAAATAAAGATAAAGAAAAATAAGCACATCATTTTAAATTACAGAGATAAACACTACAGCTTTTACAACAGAGTTTACAATAGGGTTTTTTTTTAAGTGGTTATCTTGGAAGTGAGGAAAGATTATTTGAGTGTTGCATAGTGATTTATGAACATTACTTTTTCTAGTAACTATAAAAAGAGGATTTAGAGCAAATCTGAAAAGAAAATAATCCATTTTATGAGCCAGAAAAGACAACATAAGACTGTACCATGGCTTTCCATTTCTCCTTTAATAAACGAAGTGCACTGCAGTTTCCACTTTTTTTCATGAAGTGTTTCACACAAAAGTAAGTAATGGGAGGTAGGTGTGGTGGCTCATATGCCTGTAATCCCAGCATTCAGAAGGCTGAGGCAGAAGGATCACTTCGAGTTCAAGGCCAGCATGGGCTACATAATGAATTCAAAGCCAGTCTGAACTACACAGCAAGACTATCCCCCCACAAAAAAAAAAAAAGTGATGGAGTAGTGCATGATGGGAAGCTACAAGGGTTGATTACTAAAAAAGAAACGTAAAACCAAATGAGGGAAATGGGAAAAGAGCTAATGCCAAAATTGCTAATTACATTATAATGATGTACACCTACATGGTCCGTAACTATTTCAAGTAATCCAACTGTTTGGCTGTTCAGATCACAAGTCTTCTTTATGACCAAAAGACTACAAAGTCAACAGCATCACACTAAGTGATCTGCGGGTTCATGGAGGAATAGGAAGAAAGTGAAAGCAAGAGATGGCTGATAAAGGTAGAGCATTACTCTTGATAAGGTCAAAAAATGCATATTAAACAGAGTAAAAAACTAAATAAAAAGCCAGGTGTGGTAGTAAGTGCCGACAGTCCCAGCTATTCTGGTAGACTTAGGCAAAAGGATCACTTGAGCACATGAGCAACATAGTCAGACCATACATATCTCCAAAAAAATTTTGGGGGGAACCAAACTGGTTTGTAATGCATGTTGACAGGACGCAAGAACAGTAAAACTGAGACAGAGTACAGTACTAAGCAATGTCACAAGCCAAATGCTAACATCCCACAAAATAAACAACAAGGCAACAATTACCAGGATAAACTCAGGGCAAAAATATGATTACAGGATGATCAAAAGTAACACAGCAGGTCTTAGGAAGTATTTCAGACAAGGAGGTGAGCAGAGGGCAGCAGACACAGCAACGGGGAGACAAGAAAAATGCAAGTGGTAACCTGAGAGCTCAAGCCCTTCTGCAAAAGTACTATAAGCCCAGTACTGGAGGTGTTTATTTGGACTAGTCTCTGCTAGTCACTAGATGCTTTTGCTTCTCAGCTTCATTACAGATTTTACTGGATACAGGAAGGTATCCATTTTTTCTTCCCTCACTTCAAATCAAAAAAAATTTAATACTACCCTGTCAGTAAAAATGCCTAGTGATAATATTGAATGCTTACCCCTACTTTCCGTAAGAGATCCCCGACAATGTTTAGCGCTGATATCCTAGCTGAAGGAGTTAGTGGACTGGTGCCAAAACCATTTGGTATAGCTAGAGAAAAAGAAAAGGAGAGTGATGACAATGACAATACTCTTTACATTTGGTTTTACTCTTGATATTACAAAGCAGGCTACACTCAAGAAATCAATATACTATTTCAAACTATAAATAAACTATAGACTAGAAATATACACAGGTTTAACCATTTTCCAGTTGATAGACAATTTAAACTATACAAACTTTTCATTACTACAAATAATGCTACAAGGACATTTATCATTAAACATCTACTTAAGTATTTCTAGAAAGGAAATTCCTAAAAATAGCACTGCTAGGTTAGAAGGATGCCCATTTTTTCCCACCTTAATATACATTGCCAAAATACTCCACAAAAAAGTTGTGCCAATATCAGTGTCCTCAAAACATTAGATATCATCTTTTTTTGGCAATCTGACAGTCATGTTGTTTTTAATTTTTATTTCCACAATAAGGAGACATTTGAAGCTCCTCTTCTTGAAATCATGTTTATTCTTTGAACCTTTTTATACTTGGTTGTCCTTACCAATCTGCAAGAGCAGATTATGGATATTCACCCTCTCTCATATATGCAGTGTGACAACATTTCTTTCAAAATTTGTTTTGCAGGAAATGTTTGGCTTCCCCATTTCACTATTGCAAAAATGTTCCCAATACTTTCTCCTAGTATTTTTCTACATTTTTATATTTAGATTTTTTTTAACATTTAGGGGGCTGGGTACGGCTGAGTAGTAAAGCACCTGCCTAGCATGTGTGTGGGGCCCTGGGTTTTCCCTGCACTATACCACCCCCAAAAGATTAATCTAATGTACCTGTAACTTACAGTTGCCTAAGATATAAGGTATGATCTAAACTTTTTTCCTCCTAATGGATAGCCAACTGTCCTAATACCACTAAACTTCCCACATGTAGACCTCATGTGAAATGGCACCATAATTATAGGTTCAATTCTTTAAGTATTAGAGTCTGTTCCACCAGAACCATACTACTTTTCTCATGTTTTCAAACCTACACACACAAAAAAAAAACACTGTATATATAACGGGTACCATTTAATGTATCAATACATAAACAGAAACATGTTAAAATATTCCAGTATATTTAGTATTTTAAATGGCAAGACCCTCACTAGCCTTTTTTTTTTTCTGACAGTACTTTGAATTGAACCCAGAGCCTTTGCATTGAGGAGTTATGTCACCAGCACTTTTATATTTTGAGATAGGGTCTCACTAGTTTTCCAGGCTGGGCTCAAACTTGTGATCCTCCTGCCTCATCCTCACAGGCTCCTGAGATTACAGGTATATGGCACCACACCTGGCTAATTATTAGCCTATTTCAAATTTTTCTTGATTATTCTTGCACACAGAGTAAAACCAGAATAACTTTAACATTTGTTTAAATTTGTATTAATTTAATACAGTTACATATAGCTAGTGCCTACTGCCCTGAGCAGCACAGAGAGCTTACTGTACTAACTGCACAGACAGCAAACCTTCTCCTGTCACTCTGAGAGATATAAAACTGGGCAGATTTTGAAATTGGGCAGGAGGACAGATAGCTTCAGTTTGGGATAAAAGAAGCTTCAGGGAATGGAAGTAGCTGAGATATAACCTGCAAGCTGCAAAGTATTTTTTAAAATATGACTCAAAGAGCTTTGGGAATGCATCCCAAGGTTGGACCTAATGGCTACTAAATAGTTTTTCTCCCTATATGGACTAAATATAACACAAAAGCATGGCAAAAGGAATGGCAAAAGGAATCTCCTCAATGTACCAATCGTCAATTACCTTGAGCATCACCTCTTATGATGGTAGCTTTGGAAGCATGTAACAGAATGTGCGTGTCTATCTGAACCAGGCTTAGGTGCATCTGACTGGCAACACAAAGATTATTCTCTGCACATTTGTGTGCAAAGCCCTCTAGTTTCTCATGATATAATAAGTGGCAAAAGCAAAAAATACATATTTAAGTATAATCCCAAGACCTGTGTGTGACACAGAGATGTACACAAACATACTCAAGCATACACAGACCAAAAAAACACAAGTTAAGGACAGTTGTTAAGGACATGTTAAGGACAGTTGTCTTTAAGGGATAAGATTATAGATGGCTTTTATTTATTTTCTCCTTTAGTTTGCTCAAAGTTCTTACATTTTTTTCTACATGGGGCTGGGTGTATAGCCCAGGGATTGAGCACTTGCTTAGCATATCCATGGCCCTGGGTTCAATTCCCAACACCACAAAACAAAACTCTGCATGAACATATATTACTGCTGTAACAAAAAATAAATTTTCTTTAAAAACCTTTTAACTTTTTTTTTACAACAGTAATGTTTTCCTTAAAATTTTTATTAGTATATTATTTGCAGTACATAATCATTGCATTCATTGTAGAGAACTGACACATGTATATAACACATCACAATTCTGGTTTTTTTCCCTTCCTCTCCATCCTTTTTTTTGCCAGTATCAGACTCATTTATTTATTTGTAAGTCCTTATGAAGTTAATTTTCATACAAACAAAAAAACCTTCAATTTTTAAAAGCAATTTACTAAGTTGATCTTATCTTAAATGTAGCCCTCACCCTCTTGTTTCCTACTGTGGGTGGCCTACGAAAACAATTCCTCCTCCTGCATCACATACCAATAAACCAATTTTTAAACAGCCAATTACTACTTAAGCCTTAACAATTCCTACTTCACCAACAAACCATGACAAACCTTTTGGGGAAGGAAAAGTGTTTTCTGTTCCTTTGCCAACAGGAGTAGCCGGCAAGGAGAGCGAAGCCTGAACAGCAGAATCCATCTTCTCACAGTCCAGAGTCGGAGAACTGGGAGCTGACTTCCGGGTCACTTCCTGTTGTCTTTCCCGAACTGCTAGTTCTTGCCTTAAATCTGCAAAATGTTGCAAACAAAAGCAGGAATACTCACTACTGGAAGCACATACACCCTGCAAGTCACATCTGAAATGTCACAAAGACATTTTTCCTAAAGTAGTATTTCTCAAAAATGAACTTCCAACTTAGTATCTTTCACTTCAAAGGTAATAAAAATGGTAACTCTAAATCTATTACAATTTTAAAATGCTATAACCTGAGAACAGTTACTATTCCCAAATGTAAAAATAGGGCAGAATATAACACAGAAATCAGTGACTCTGATACCAAAACAAAATATTCTTTGTGAATTCATTGGCTTTCATTTTAAAATGTTATAACTGCAGAATTACTGCAAAATTAATGAAGTGTATTACTGTAATTTTAAATGGGCTGGGTTTTTAATTATCACTATGAAATATTTTGTTTTAGGAAAGTATTCAAAACAGTTTAGGTAGCTGGGCATGATGGCACTCGCCTGTAATCCTAGCACTTAGGAGGCTGTGGCAGGAGAATCACCATCAATTCAAGGACAGCCTGGGCTACATATGAGTTCACAGCTAGTCTGAACTACACAGTGAAACCCTGCCTCAAAAAACCAAAGACCAGTTTATTTTCTGGCTTCAAATATTGGATTATTTATCCAAAATTAAGGTTCTCTTTTTCAGTTGTATAACACGTACAGAATACTGTTTAGAAATACTGTTTAGAATACTGCTAAGAAAGGACACAAAGTTATCCCACTTCTGGGATCTAAAATAATTCAAAACAGGGACATAGAGATATTTGCACAACTACGTTCCTAGCAATATTATTCATAATAGCCAAGAGATATAGGCAAGCCAAATATTCATCCATGGATGAATAAAGAAAATGGGAACAAGGGAAGGAAGCAACAAGAAAAAAAAGAAGGAAAAAATGGAAACAAAGCTTTTGTAAATAAGGAGGGGAAGAGGGATTAAAGGGAGGGGAGAAGAATGAGAAAAAAAGAAAAAGCAAGATATATCGTATATAGATACAAATTCCCTATGATGAATGTTATTATGCATATCTAAAATGTACCCATTTAAAAAAAGGAAAAAAATGGGTACAAGCAATAGAATATTATTCAGTCTTTAAAAAGGACATCCTATCACATACTACAACTTGCATAAACCTTGAGGACATTATGCCAAGTGAAATAAGCCAGTCACAAAAAGATTCATACTATATGATTCCACTTGTGAGGTATCTAAAGTAGTCAAACTTACAGACACAGAAAGTAAAACTGTTATTTCAAGGGACTGGTGGGAGAGAGAAATAAGAGAGCTACTATTTCATGGTTTATATGGTTTCAGCATTACAAGATAAAAAATTCTAGAGATATGTTATCCAACAACATAATTATACTTAGCACTACTAAATTGGGCGTTTAAAAATGGTTGGGGTGGTAAATGTAATTTCTTTACCACAATTATAAATAAATAAGATGCAAAGTTAATATTTTATATATTATATAAATAACTAGCAGCTCTTCAGATAAATAAGTCACTTCCTAGGAGGAAAGGGAGGAAAAAGGCATGAAAAAAACTGGAAAAAAGCTTCACGAGTAGTAACTAAAGAACTACAAATTGCCCTGCCTCGTAAGCAACCGAAAGGAGGGCCCCCGCACACGGGGAGCCACGGGCGGGGAGCGCCGATCTTCCGCCTGCTCGCTCCCTGCCTTGTAGGTGCCCGGAAGGAGGGCCCCAGGTGCACAGAGAGCCACGCCACGGTGAGCGCTGTCATGTGCCGGCCCTCAGGCCGGCCACCGCCGCTCAATTAACAACTACCATGATACAGAGAAACAACGACACAATTGGCACACCATGCACTGGCTGCAGATGCCCACCCACAGACATGTGAATCATTCAAACATGGAGAAACCCCTGAGAATACATGCCATACAACAGGTCACTCTTGCTCCTGCCACTGAGAACCAGAATGGTCCAGAGTCAGCGGAGGAGCAGCTGCTGAACAAGGACTCAGAGAACATGAGAATGCAGACTAAGCCCGAGGAGTCAGAGGTCCTGCGGACTGGGGTCATGAGAGCCGCTGGGAAGCTGTAAACCAGAAGGACCTTGCACAATACCTGCAGAGACTCCCTGGAAGCCATTCTTCCCCTGACAGTACAGAGGCTGTGGTGGAGCTCTGGAGAAGTCTGCATCAGGATTCCTGCTGCCTGTGCTGACAGTTGGGGAGAGGACACTAACTGGTTGTGGGGTCCCAATGCAATGGGAGGCTGGAGAGAAAATGCTACAAAAAATGGCTTTTGCCCCAGACGGCTCACTTGATTTTTGACAACCCTTAGGCTGTAACTACTTGTTAGATCCTTCTTGTGTATCTCTGTCTTCCTGAGAAACCACTTTGAAGATACCACCATGTATTACAGCAGCCACTGATATTTTCCTACTAATCTATCCATAACTCTGCAATGTTTGTATTGTTCCTATCCTATTTCGTAAATGGATGTATGTCTATCATTATGTGTTTCCTACAACAACCATTGAGAAAAGTTAATGATTATTCAATAGGTCACTCGTGTATAGCTCTATTTATTTTCTTTAGAAGCCACTTTGAAGATACCGAAGTATAGTACAACTATTGATAATCTCCTACCTCTTTTGTCTGTAACTCACTATTATTTGTCTATTTGTTTTCCTGAGAAATTACCTTGTAGATAACAATATGTAAAACAATAACCATTGATAATTTCCTACCACTTTGTCTGTAATTTGGTAAGCCCCCCCATTATTATGTTATCTTTCTTTTACTCTTTAAAATAAATTTTTAAAAAAACTGTAAATTAAAAACCAATGAGATAGCAACTTTCAACTTCCAAATGCACTTCAGAAGTACTTACTATTGACAGTACTGAGGACAAGTGTGAAACCACAATCCCTGCCCACCACTGCAAAGGGAATAGAAAGGTACTAACTTTGTAAAAAGTGAGCATTTTATATTACGACCATAAAAACACTCTGTTTCCTTTGCCACATCTAAGAATGTCTTCTAAGAAAAATCACTGGAAACACTCAAATAAGGCTGAGGATGTAGCTCAGTGGCAAAGTGCTTGCCCAGCATGCACAAGGCCCCGAGTTCAATCCCTGTACCACAAAAAAAGAGATAAAAATGCTCTAATATTATGTATGAGGATTCTAATCAAAACATTTTTTTTCTTTTTGGGGGTTTGGGGAGGTTTTTTGAGACAGGGTCTCACTATAGTCCAGGCTGGCCTCAAACTCACAGCAATCCTCCTCTCTGCCTCCTCAGTGCTGGGATTATGTGTGTGGCACCACACCTCGTAAATACAACTTAAAGCAAAGTTAGCCACCAATAAGGAACTCATTAGATAGACTATAACTACACAATAGAATATTCCATAACATTTTTTAAAAATCTGTTTTAAAAGATTTCTTAATGGTATGGATTATATTCCCCAGAACAAGCAGGGGATAGGAATTATACAAAGGCAAAAATACAGACACGGCTATATACAGTCATAGCAAAGATTGGAAAAAAAAAAAATCTGTTAGTAGATTCTTTCCCAATAAAGTGATTGGCAGTGGTTTTTATTTTATTCTTTATGATATTCTGGATTCTATTATGCATAAGGAAAAAAGAGGGAAAAACTTTTTAAACTACATATATAATATGTATACAACAATATTTATACACATATAAAACTATCTCAGTAAAAGCAGTTAGGAAAAAAACCCAAACAAACCAAACAATACATGTGTGCAGTGGCAGTGGTCAAATCTTTGCAAAACAAACCAAGGTTTGAACTACTAACTATACTACTTTGCACAAAACTCAAATTCTTTCTGCCTTAGTTTTCTCATCTATATAATAGTTGTGCCAGGCATGGTAGGAAGTGCCTGTAATCCCAGCACTCGGGAGGCTGAGGCAGGAGGATTGCCACAAATTTCAGGACACTTAAGCTACATAATGAGCTCAAGGCCAGCCTGCCTGTACCACAAAGTGAAACCTGGTCTCAGAAAAAAACAAACAAAAAAAAAAGGTAAAATAAAATAGCTGTAGTACTTCCTAGCATTGATTCTATAGGTATAAATAAATTAACAGATTAAAAGCACTTAACATGGCACCTCAAAATTATATATGTACTTTAAAAGAAATTGAAAATAAATAAATAAATAAATAAATAAATAAAAGAAATTGAGGGCTACGGCAAAGCGCAGTGGTACACACCTGTAATCCCAGTTACTCAGGAGGCTGAGGCAGGATTACAAGTTCATGGCCAGCTGGGGCAACTGAGCAAGACTCTGCCTCAAAATAAAAATTTTCAGAAAGGGTTGGGGATATAGTTTAGTAATATAGCACTTGCCTCGCATATACAATGCCCTGGGTTCAAGCTCTAGCACCCGAAAAGAAAAAAGAAAAGAAAAGATAAGAAGAGAAGTTGATCCTTGAGCTTTCTGCTTATAAACAGCAAGGTAACAGATAAATATTCTCTAGTAGATAAATATTCTCTAAGTTATAAAACTTACCTCTTGCTTCATCCTTTAACCTCTGTACAGAAACCAACAAAGATTCCTTTTCATCAAGTTCACTTTCTAAAAATGCATTTCGTTCAATGGCCTGATTTAGCCTTTGTTCAAAGTCTTCCAGTGAAACTATTGTTGCTCTAAAAAGGAATCCATGAATTAAATAAATAACGTGCAAAAAAAATAGCTATACAAGGGAAACAGTTTATCTAATGCCACTCCTGACCTAGCCATCCTGGCCCAGCTCAGAAGGGATGATCTCAACCCATTCAACAAATATTAACATGCACCAATATATTCCAAGCCCTCCCACTCTGTGCTATCTGCTGCAGAAAAAAAACTCCCTAACCTCAGACTGGAACTCCGAATGTCATCTCCAATTTTATCAATTCCTGGCAACTGCCAAAATGTCTCTCAAATTCACTTCCTCTTCGGGCCCAACCTTCTCCAATCTTCTGCCTTAATTCTTCATCCATCAAGCTGGATTACTCCTTCAGTGATCTTCAAGTCTCCTCCCTGCCTCAACCCCTCAGTATTATCTTCTCAAATCAAAATCTGGTATTACTCCTTTGTATAAAGAAAAAAAAAAAAAAAAAATTTCAAGGAGCTCCCCCACCGCCTGAAGAATAAAACAGCACACTAGGTTCTTCCTAACCTGGCCCCACCCATTTTCCACAGCCTCATCTCATTCAGCCACACTGTCTCTGGACAAGTCAAAGTGAACTCATTTATTAATTCCTCAACCACCTTCCCGCCTCTGGCCTTGTATCTGTCTCTTCACCCAGTTAACTGTCTCTTAACTCTTCCGCAGGCTCAGCTCCAGTATCTGCAAAGACTCCCCCAGTTCCTGAAGGTGTTCTAGCTGCTCTCCCCAAAGCCCTGGAGCAGCCTAAGCCTTTTTACTACCACCTTTGTCATAGTGAAAGTTCTTATCTGTCAGCCTCTAGGATAGTGACTTGCTTAGTTCAACCCCTTTATGGTGTCAAGCTCAAGAGTCACTTGGTAAGTATTAAGGAAAGAAATACTAGGCAATTATTGTAAGGTAACAGGAATCATTTTAAATAGCTATGAAACAACTAATTACAGAGGCATAAAAACTTGGCAATAGTAATAGCAAGTCACTATAGGTTGCCTAGGAAAACTGTAATAAATGCAGTACTTAGGAAAAATTCATCAGGTGATATTAAAACAGAGTGAAAAGGAATGTATATCTGCTAGAAGGTAACTGCAGAATTCAGGTAAAAAGGCTTCAGGACCTATACACACAGTGTGGTGATACTGAGAACACAGAAGACAGAGGGATGCACGGAACATGTTTTAAAGATGAACCAGAAGGGTCAACAAATGATCACAAAAAAGAAAGATTAAAAGAAAAGCTTGGAAGAATGTTACCAGGGAAGCTAAGGACTTCTGGCCCTTTCAATCCAATGAGTCGCAAGTGACAGGAAATACCAAAACACAATGTTCTGGGACCGAGATCTAGATGAGAGGTTGAGTTTAATGATAAAGATTTTAATCACTGATTGTCAACTTGGATTTTCTCACAAAACACACATCATTTACCTTTTTGCTCGCTCCAGGTCATCATTGGCCTGCTCCAGCTCTCTCACGTACTTATGCAACTGCTCCTTAATGGCCCTGGTCTGACTTAAATCATCTTCTAATACAGAAACCTGCTTGTAGCTCTGTGCATACTGATGTTCTAGTTTCTCCTGAAGGCATGGAGAAGAAAGGATGTGTCATTAATACAGTCTTCTTTAATAAAGAATATAATCCAAATTAAAGGAAAAAAATTCAAGGAATTCACTCACAATTTGAGTTGATGGGTTCTCTCTCCTTTTTCCAAGACTTTAAAAAGAACTCAATGATACATGTATTCTAAGGACCTTAACTCACATAAAAGTTACTCAACAATTTTCCCCTCAGAAATAACTCTTATAATAATTTCTCTAAAAAAAATAAAATAATGAAACCCTTGCCAGACATGGTAGAACATGCCTTAACCCAAGCACTCTGGGAGGTTGAGGTAAGATCACAATTTCAAGCTCAGCCTGGGCCAATGAGAAGCTTATTAAGACCTTCTCAAAAAATAATAGTTAGAACATATCTTCTAGGTATGTTCCCAAAAGTTGTACTACAGTGATGCATACCCATGCTTATAGCAACACAACTCATAACAGCTAATTCTTGGACGCAGCTAAATCTACGTGCCCATCAACAGATGAATGGATAAAGAAAATGTGGTGTATATATATACATGGTGGAATACTATACAGTCACAAAGAAAGACAAATTTGAGTTATTTGTAGGAAAATGGATGTGAGACCCTAATGTTAAATGAAATCAGACACAGAAGCATAAATATTGCATGGTTTGTCTTATGAGAAACCCAAAGTATAAATATTTAAAGAGCAAAATAAGAGATAATATGAAATAAAAATATCCTCTGCAAATAGGAAGGGAAACTACAAATGAATGGAGGGAAAGAGGGTAAACAGAAAAGAAAAGCATTAAAATGTGTCATGGTATGTATGTGTACCAACCCCTACAATGAATATAATCAATATATGTTATAATTAAATAAATAAATAGGGCTGGGCTATAAGTTAGTGTGGGCCCTAGGTCCAATCCCCAGTTCCACAAAAAAAAAAAGAGAGAGAAGGAAGGAAAAGAAAAACCCTTGTCTCAAAATTTCCAAATACGGCAGAGAAATCTCTGGGTTCCCAAGCTAAACGCAACCTACAATAAACACAGGGACTAACATTGTCGCTCAGAGTTCAAATTCCCTACCTTTTCCAATCTCACCCACTCCCTAACAAAAGCATTCCCATGCAAGCTAAACAGAGTGGTGAAGAAAGGCCAGAGGTTAATCCTTTCATTCCTGAAAATAAACTCCAAAACTGAAGGGGCTATGAACAATGAAATTAATGCACACTTCATATAAATATAATTTTACAGTATTACACAATGAGGCAAACAATCTATCAAAACAAATCATCGGGTAGCTTTTGAAAATGACAAGAACTGCTGGGCACACTGGCACACATCTATAATCCCAGCACACTGGAGGCTGAAGCAAAAGGATCACTGCAAGTTTGAGGCCAGCCTGGCTACATAGTGAGTTCTAGACCAGCCTGCACTATGTAGGGAGAACTGGTCTCAAAAAGAAAGAAAATTCCAAGAACTAGAATAAAATATAACTAGGAACATTACAGCTAGACAACTGACAGTCAAAGATTTCACAGTGAACTCCTAACCTCTGAACCACCTTTCCCTTGGTTCAATGAGAGAAAACATTTTATTCAAAAATTCACTTTAAGCTTTTTAAAAAAATTTTTGTTGCTTGCTATTTTTACACACCATGCCAAAAATATTATTTCTCATTTTAATAAAATCCAGTACATCCGACACCAGCTCCACTGTTATAGTTACCTTTAACGCTTCCACTTCGTACTTCAGCCTTTGGTTATCAGCTTGCAGGTCTCTGTTTCTTTGCTCTGCCTGTTCTAATTGTGCCTCCAACTCTGCTTCTAATTCTCTGCTTCCTTCCTGGAATTCAACTAGCTCATCCCGAGCTTCCTGGAAGCTAATCAGAAAACGAAGTAGGACACATGAGTAATCATTTATTCTCACCAGTAATTCAAAATTAGTACACACTCCCTTAGATCTTTTTTAGTTATATACTGACACATTATCACTACACCACAAATTAGTTTAACAGTCAGATAAATTGTTTTCAAACAATTAGCGTCCTCTGTAATTTCTCTATTCAATTTTTTATATTTTGAGGAGAGAGCCATAGGTTTAACCTCCATATGAAGGCATCTGTGACACAAAAAAGAAGAGTCACTGCCATAGATACATATCATCTACATCTATTTGCACAATAGAGTAACTGGCTTCAATAATAACAATGACAGATCAATACGGTTTGATAAGGCTCAGTTAATTCTGTTAACCAAAGGAGGAAAATGTGGAAGTATTTTGGAAAACATTCCATCCTTAAAAAAGAAATTTAAGGCAAGTTTGACACTAAAAACTTATTATCTCTAAGTCTCCTAAGTAAAAAAATTGAAATTTTTATAAAATGCTCCACAGCTCTTGTGTGCATCCTCCTCCATCAAAGGTTGGCCAACTCTAGATAGTAATAATGCTTGCCCAAAGAGAACTGAAGTCCATTATAGCGTTCTCCAAATGGGCAAATGAGGCAGAAATAGTACACACATAACAAACGAAAGATAGTCCAGTCTAGTAATAAACATTCAAAGAAGCAAACTATCCAAAAAAAAAACAACCAGGGCTGGGGATTTAGCTCAGCGGCACAGTGCCTGCCTGGCAAGTGCAAGGTTGTGAGTTCGATTCCTGGTACTGGGGAAAAAAACCTCATAAAGGCACTAAGTTTTCCTATTACTTTTTTTTTTTTTTTAAGACAGCATCTCACTATGTAGTCCAGGCTGGCCTTGAGCTCACTATGTAGCTCAGGCTGGCCTGGAACTTGGATAATTCTCCTGCCTCACCCTCCCAAGTGCTAGGATTGCAGGCATGCACCACCATGCCTGGCATTTTCCTATTACTTTTGAACAATAAAAATTGATAGTATATTTATGCTATTTAAATACAAGCAATGTTGTAACTATTTCTAAAATCACAATTTGAAGTCTGAAACTCTAAAGTTAGTTTTGTCTTTAAAAAAAAAAACAAACCTAAGATGGGCATGGTGGCACAAGTGTGTAATCTCAGCACTGTGGGAGACTGAAACAGGAAAACCACAAATTCAATCCCAGCATGGGTAACTTAGCAATTTAGTGAGGCTCAAATATAAAAAATAATAAAAAGCACTGGAGATGTAGCTTTGAGCAAAGGCCCTGGGTTCAACCCCCAGTATGGGATGGGGGAGCACAAACTAGACACTGTATTCCAAATGCTTCCCCCTAATTTTAATATACTTTTCAACATTACCTTTGCTTATACTTCAAGGAAAGCTCTTTCCAATAAGCAGTTTCTTCCTTTAAACTTGAAAAATCTGGTATATCTTCACCATCCATGATCAAGAAAGCCTATAAAATATTAAAGACAAACTATTACAAATTAAATAGAGAACATAGAAATCTAAGTAAATGCTTAAAGTCTGAGACAACACTACATCTGCAGCATTCTGGAGGGAGTTAAGCTTTTTTTTTTTTTTTGGTTTTTTCCCAGTACCGGGAATCAAGCTCACGACCTTGAGCTTGCCAGGCAGGCGCTGTGCTGCTGAGCTAAATCCCCAGCCCCTCTAGAGGGAATTAAACACGAAAGATTCTAGGAGGCTTTAACTCTCTCATAACTCAGGCACATGTATCACTTCACTGCCCCACTCAGGAACAGCAAATACTGAGGGTGAGGTCATGACAGGAGATGAAAAAACACAGTCTTCTGGTACAAAGCCAATGAGGTTGCTGCCTTGGATTTGGGTGACGTAGCCCCACAGAATCATCCAGCACAGAGTTCCAAGTTGTTCTTCTGGGAATCAGGTGACAGAAACAGGCAGAATGTCAGAGATGCTTACTGCATGCTCTTCCCTATTGTATCATTGCATCAAAACCCCTGCTTAAAAATTCCAGGTGACGCTACCAGATTAGACATGCCCAATAATTTACGATCACATTTCTAAAAGCTTTCTGTTTGTTAATTATCTTTTAAGTCCAAAACTTCTTCCCAAAGTCCATTCCATCTCCAACTTCAGTGATTTTTTTTTTTTTTTGAAAGAGGGTGCTACATGCATAGACACCAGGGCTTCACCTATGCAAAGCAAGCAGTCTACCACTAAGCTACATATCCAGTCCTTTTTATTTTTTTTAAAGACAGGGTCTCACTAATTTGTTAAGGCTGGCCTTGAATTTGCTCAACCTCCTGAGTAGCAGGAATTTCAGACACATTATCACCACTCAAAGATCTTTTGCCTTCAGACCTTTTGCATTCAGAGAGGGAGGGGAAAAATCCACTTCTAACCTTGCATTTGGACTAAAACTCCCAAGGAACTGTCAGGTTATGGAACACCAAAAACATGAGGCCCACCCTACATTTATGCCTACTGTTTCCTATAGTCCCTTCCTAAGCATCCCACTATATCCCAGCACTTCTTAATAGCCCATGCTATTCCAGATCTGAATGTTTTCTCTACCTGAAATGGCTTTCCAGTCCTTACATTTGGAAAGCTCTTATTTTTTTCTTTAAGGCCCAGCTGTCACCTTTTCCAGAAAGCCTTTCTTGTCCTCGCTTAAACTGCATTAAAGTCTCTTGTGCTCAGCCAAGGCTATCCTCACCCATGCTTTCTTTTTTTTTTTTTGGTTTTTCTCTGGTACCGGGAACCGAACTCACGACCTTGCACCTGCCAGGCAGGCGCTTTGCCGCTGAGCTAAATCCCCAGCCCCCCCATGCTTTCAATGATATCTTTGCCACAGCAATGCATCTGCTTACATCTTTGAGTCCTCTGTTAGTCTGTGTAGCATTACTGTATTTATTTCCACAACGCCTGCACAACAGGAAATGCTCAATAATATGTACTGAATTGAACCATAGTTGATTCAACATAATCCACAGTGGGCAGCAAGAACAAGACCAAGTTTAAAAGTAAATTAATAAAATAACCTGGAGATGTAGAGAACTTAGGAGTTCATCTAACACAGTTCATTCATAAAGACATAGCAAGAACTATCACAGGTAAGAACAAATATAGAACTCCAGTTTCTAGGTGGGTATACCAAAGAGGTATGCACAAAGTTTTTAATGGAACAAAACAAAAATGTAACTTTATATATTTAATTTAATTCCTCTGAGGCCTACTGCAAACTTCTCTTTTCTTTCCTTTTTTTGGTACAGGAAATTGAACTCAGGACTTTGCACCTGCCAGGCAGGCACTGTGCCACTGAGCTATATCCCCGGCCCACCGCCAACTTTTCTTAATCAAGTCTTTCTTGGTTGACAGCAGTTAGTCAACTTTCCAATTATCTTAAATTACCAATCAGCCAGAAAGTTCTTTAAACAAGATGGATCCCTGCCACATGTTATATTCCTTCATGGCACCAAGCATAAAACCTTGCTCAGAGAAAGCACCTAATGCTTGCAAACATTTACCCAACACCTATCGTGTGTCAGATATTGTTCTGCACTGGATAAGTATTAGCCAAATATACCCTCCTCTAATCTGATTATCCCTACACAAGCACACATTTGTCTGTATTATTCTGTTCTTGGGAATACTTTTAATAGCATGACAGCACTTTAAAATGTTAACCCCACAGGCTGGGAGTCTTGTTGAGGGTGGGTTGCAGGGTTCCAATTCTGCTGTTAAATTACTTAAGCAAATAGCTTAAACTCTTAGAGCCTCATTTTTTTCTCATCTAAAAAAGGTTCAGACTATATCAGATGACTTATTGCTTCTTCAAGTATACATATACTAATTAATTTTATAATCCTGTTCCTTCATCAAAGTTCCTAATTTTCACTTCACTTTTTCAGATACGGAGGTAATCTTACTTGCAACTAGTTTATTTTGTAGTAAGGTTTGTGTGAGGACAAGACTCATCCAGCAACAAGAGATATTCGTATTTCAAAGGATCCAAAGTACATACTTAAAGTCATCATCATGTGGTATCAATAACTCCTGAGAGTTATAGCCTAAGTCTCCTTGAGGTAAAGGACATATTTTAACAATCCAGATAAGGATAGAATTACAAGACATGAGGCAGCAGAGATGAGGCAATGATCCCTGTGCCCTTTGAATGCTCTACAGAGGGTCTGTCCCTCAAAATGCCCTAAAACTGTGATTACATTTAAATCTATAAATCCAACTCTAAAGAAAACAATCACAAGATCATGGGCACCAGTCCCTAAACTTGGATATGCTACCATTTCAACACTGGCAACTACATGTCAACGTGCAACCCAAATATCATTTGTGATACCCAATCCAATGATCCTGTTTTTTGAAAAATGTTGTGAGAGCCAGAGGTAACAAGAAGCAAAGCTCTACTTCTACTAACTCTGCTTTTAACAATAGCTTCAGAGGACAGAAAGGCAAAGTCTCCCTAGTTAGTTCCTTGAGGACAGGTCCTGTGTCTTACTCATAAATCCTTCCATACTCCACACATCACCAGAAACCTATAATGTAGAAGTTCAATAAATATCATTTGAATCGACTTATAATCATTCCTTCACTATTCTACTTCCAAAGCAGAGAAAACATTTTCCTTGAACAACTGAATCTCTGTCTTAAGGAAGAAATAAGCAAAAAGACATATGGGTAGTTTATTTCTACCTCACAGTGCACCACCATGTACTAAAATCAAGATTATAAAATCTATTATTTCCAGTTGTACAAATTATCAGTCTGACGCATGGCAAACTACATTCACGGTCAGTTGTGTAGACACCACAAAGAACAGAGCTATGGGATTTGGCTGAGAAGAACCTTGGCGAAACTACTGTATACTAGTTGCCTCAATCATCCAGCCATCAGACCTAAACATACATGGACAACCAAGAACCACCAGACAAATGGGACACCAAGTAGTATAAAGAAGAAAACCATAGGACCTGCTGAACTGAGAGGAAACAGATAATTCAGGAAATGAGAGAAATTTTTTCTCCTACAAAAACTATGGTTATCTTCCCACACACTTCCTGAGAGTTACAAAAGAAGGGAGAAAACCATGACCTGCCTGCACAGGATACAGCCTACAGGGACCCCAACCCAGGACTGCAATGAAAAGAAGTCCCAGGATAAATCCTTGCCTATCAGGTTTAGAGAGCAGTTCAAGCAAGGGATGTTCTCCCAAAAAAATGAGGAATCCCATAAAATAGCAGATTAAGAAGCTGAATAAACCTGAGTTTATGGTAAACACGTAATACTCATCTGTCAATTAGGAAAAGGGCAAATAAAAACCTCAGGAGACTAAAAAAGCAATTTAAGAAAGTCCTGATCCTTATATAAAACATTTTAATGAATGATTTCAAATCTAAAATTTTAAATTGACTAATTTTTGCATTATTTTAAGCAACTGGAATAAGTCCCATAACTATATAGCTATCAATGAGCTTCCTATTTTTTAATGTGCATTTGTCATAAGTTTCATATGCTGCTCTGTTGTAAGGTCTCAGAATTTGGTAAACAAGTTTGTATTCTTTTTTATGCCACTTCTGATTTGGGTAGAGTGTGCTGATAATACCTCTCAGTTTTGGTGTTCACAACGTTAACACTTCTCTTTTTAGCCTATGATCATTTAACACTCATCTCAGTCTCATAAATCTTTGGTCATGCTTTTGGTCACCCTTAGGTTACACATAAGCTTTGTGAAGCTGAATAACTAGTGTTACTTCAGTACTCTATATTTTACTTAGTGGTAGGGTAATTTTTCTTTTGAGCTTTTGCTCAAAAGAAAATACCTTTTTGCTACCATGCAGCACTTGATACTGCCAATCGTGTAGTCCATGGGCTAGTGTGCTTATGGAAGTTCCTAATGACTGTCAGATGCCTTCCTCAGCATCTAACATTTGAATTACTTAGTGTACTGTATTTAAATGTGAATCCACTCCTACAAATAGGGTCAGGATTGTTTTCATCTATAAATGTGACTTGCATGGCCACTTTGAAACTTTTCTGGGTGGTGGTGTTTTTTGGTCTTTGCTACCTGCATCACAGTATCAGAACCTCATGGCAGCTGCTGTTTTGAAGGACACTTGACTAAGTACTGATCTCTAGGGAACAACACTGTTTATACCTCTGAGTGTGCTATGAAGAATCCATTTGTTCCCTGGCTGTAAGAGAGAGACATATTCTTTTGTTTTGTCTGGTTTTCTGGTTTTTTGAGACAAGGCCTTGTTATGTAGCTCAAACTGGCCTTGAACTGGAAGCAATCCTCCTACCTACCTTCTACCTACCTCCTCCTACCTACCTGAGCCTCTCCAGTTCTAGGATTACAGGCATGAGCCACCACACCTGGCTTTTCACACACATTCTGAACTAAATGCTGACAATTTTTCTAATCAAAAGGCTACTTTCGGGGCTGGGGATTTAGCTCAGTGGCAAAAGCGCCTGCCTGGCAAGCGCAAGGTCGTGAGTTCAGTTCCCGGTACCGGAGAAAAACAAAAACAAAAACAAAAAAAGGCTACTTGCATGTAAGGCCTTTTAAAGAGTATTATAACCTATGTCAGAAATTTTTTACTAAAATGACCATCATCTTTTCCAGAATAAATCAAATTTAAAAATTTAACCAAGAGTAAGTCATAGAAACAGCATAGCATACTGACTGAAACCCCAGACCCTGAATTCAAACTGCCTGGATTTGAAATCAGGCTCCTTTACTCACTAGTTGGGTGACCTTGGGCAAGTTATTCACCTACTCAGTACCCCATGTCCTCCGCTATAAAATGGAGATAATCACTAACATGAACTGTTATGAATAGTGACTTAATATTTGTAACGTACTTTTAACAGATCCTGACACATAGTAAACAGCATAAGTGTTCATTAAATTATTAAGAATTGGTAGTTCCCTAGTAGATATTTGCAGTTTGAACACAAAGTAAACAGGCTTCACAATTTAAAACATACAAATGACTCCTTCGCATCAATCATTTCAGGGAGCTATATTCATATTTCAGTGATACCACCACTACTGAAAACACTTCCAAAACTTCCCTTTTGGAATTGCCTTTACGAGTAAGATTAAGAACTAAGCAAAAAGTTCCTACTCTGTTCACACACATTCATTGTTTCCTAAATTATCCAGCTTTATCACTCTAATTTTACCAGACTTACCCTTTTTAAAAATCCAATTTTTTACAAATAACAAAAATGTATTCTTCCCCTGACAGTACAGGATGTGGTGGAGCTCCGGAGAAGTCTGCAGCAGGATTCCTGCTGCCTGTGCTGACAGTTGGGGAGAGGACACTAACTGGTTGTGGGGTCCCAAAGCAATGGGAAGCTGGAGAGAAAAAGCTACAAAGACTGGCTTTCACCTCAGATAGCTCACTTGAGATGTTAGTAAGAATTGCCTCCTCAGTATTCTATAGCCATGATGAGGAGGAGGCCAAGGAGAGAAAACAAAGAGACTGAGAAAAAGCAGCTGCTTTTGCTGCACCACTAAGAGAAACAGATCCCAGGTCTGATTCCCGGGGCTCCAAGAACAACTCGACAACTGCATTCATCTGCTACCACTGTTAAAAGCCAGGCCACCTCAAGAGGAACTCCCCTAAGAGGCCCCATGGGCCATGCCCTGGATGCAAAGGAGACCACTGGAGATCGGTCTGCCCTCTGAGGTGGAGGCCCCAGAGCTCAGACCCATCCTACCAGTTAGTCCAACAGGAATGAGAGGGCTTGGGGCATGGTCTGCCTTCTCCCTCTGGCCAGACCGTCATCTCCATCGAGGAGTCCTGGGTAATCATGACTATGGAGGAACAAGAAAACAGCCTGCTGCTAGTCACAGGTGCAAGTCTCTCGGTCCTTCTTTTCAATCCTGGCCTTCCTTCCAGCCATCATACCTCAGTGAAAGGAGTCACTGGTGAGGAGGTAATATGCTATTTTTGACAACCCTTAGGCTGTAACTACTTACTAGATCCTTCTTGCATATCTCTGTCTTCCTGAGAAACCACTTTAAAGATACCACCACATATTACAGCAGCCATTGATATTTTCCTACTAATCTATCCATAACTGTGTTAAGTTTGTAATGTTCCTATCCTATTTCATAATGTATGTTTATTATTATGTGTTTCCTACAACAACCATTGAGAATAGTTAATGATTTTTCAATAGGTCACTCATGTATAGCTCTATTTATTTTCTTTAGAAGCCACATTGAAGATACCAAAGTATAGCACAACTCTTGATAATCTCCTACCTCTTTTGTCTCTAACTCACTATTATTTGTCTATTTGTTTTCCTGAGAAACTATTTTGTAGATAATAATATGTAAAACGATAACCATTGATAATTTCCTACCATTTTGTCTGTAATTTGCTAAGTCCCCCCTATTATTATGTTATCCTTCTTTTATTCTTTAAAATAAAAATTTAAAAAAAAAAAAATGTACTACCACAGCAGATATACATAAGACTGCTTCAGGATCTAAAAAGAGTGTTCAGTTTGACTCAAATTACACTGAGAGGATATGTCCACTGCCATTTGAAACTATGTAACTAGAGATACTAAGGCTACAGAAAATTAGCCAATATCAAAAAATGCTAAAAATAGGGGGGGAAAAGATATATGGAGGCCAAAAACTAAATAAATATAAACAAATGTTCAAATGGTACATGTACAATTTTGTGAAGTTGGAATGAAGGCAGATAATTATTCTCTTCTCCTCCAGTCTTCCCTTAATACTATGTCTCATATAGACAGAGTATGAGTCTTAAAATTATAACTTTCACATCAGATATTATCACACACTACATGATCTTCATATACCCACCAACTTGGGTTGAAAACAGCTTGTCCAAAATGCCTTATTTACAGGGAATCTATTTCTTGCACAATGGTAAAATCTATTTTACACACTGTCTTCTTGTTAATAAGTATAAAGATGGAGTAATGAGGTTGAAAGAGTTCTTCTGGGGCCCCCTGTAGATAATAGAGGCCTTTTTACTGAAATTCTTCTACCACTCCAAAAGATAACATCTAAAGAATTTTTAACATTTCAAAGCCAATCATAAATAAGATCTCTTTTAGTTCTATCAAATCTTTTTCTACCTTTATAGACTGCTCAGAAACTTCTGCCAGAAATTTAATAATTTTAAACTTTTGTAATCAAACATCTCAGTATAGTTTTAAATTAATAAAAAAGTTCTATAAATATCATAACAGCAAATCTAAGTTTTAATTAAGATAGAAGTATGTCATTCATTTCAAATGCTCCTTCCAACTTCAATTTCATTTTTGTTTTGGTTTTGTTTTTTGAGACAGGTTCTCTTTGTAGTTCAGGCCAGCCTTGAACTCACTAGGCCAGGCTGGTCTAGACCTCGCAGCAAACCTCCTGCCTCAACCCCCGACAAGTGCTAGGATTACAGGTATGCACCACCATGCCTCCAGCTCCAACTCTGAATAGCTAAAGATCATCTTTGTTCCTTAAGCAGTCCGATTGTAAATAATAGTAACTTTCATAATAATTCAGAAGAGAAATCCCTCAATGTCCCATGGCTTCTCCTCACCCTATAATTTAATAGTGCATTTTGTTCCAATAATTTCATTTTGCAAAGCCACTGCCCTATCAAGTGCACAAAAAGCAATATAAGTTATTGGACAAAATAACCAGCTACCCATGAATAACCTTAAGGTTTTTCTCTTAACTAAATAGTTCTTTTTAGATGAGTTTACTCAAACACAACAGGATAAATCCACTACTAGATTCTAGTATATCTTTGACAAGCCAAATTTTTTGCTTTGCTTTCTAGTTGAGAAGAAAATAAAAATCTCACACAAAAAAAAGTCAGAACTCCGGGCCTAGAAATGTAAATTCTGATCCAAGATAAGCTTCTCACCACCTTGAACCCAACCATAAATCATTTCACTGCCCCCCACCTAAGCTCAGTTTCTCCATCCAGCAAGTGGCAACACTGTTATCTGTCACAACTTTAGCGTGATGAGATTCAAGAGATAAAAATGTACAAAGGCGCTACAGGAAGGGAATGTAATCATCATTAGTGAAAGAACCTTCACTTTCTTAGCAAAACTTAAATGGTTACCTCGTCGCTTGCCAGCCAAAAAGAAAGAGGCGAGCACAAGCAACCCGAGCCCGTTGGTGACACTTCCCTGAACTCCAAGGGGGTGATCAGCAGTTCCAGGCGGGGAGTCACGGGCATGCCAATCACAGCCCGGCCGTGGGCAGCGCCGGCTCTCGCCCCCCACAGAACGAGGCGCTGGGAGATCAAAATCCAAATGGCTCTGAACAACACTCGCAGCTGAAGGGCTTCTGCGGAGGCTGGCGGGGGTGGGCTGGCGCGCGCTGCCACCTCCGCCTGAGCCACTCCTTGTGCCACCAGCGCCCTGGCCCACGGTGCCACGTCCCGGCCTCCGTCCCCACCCCGGGACAGCAGCACATCTGGACGCCGCCGTGCTCGCCCCCTCGCAGGCAGCCCTGGCGGCCCACACCTCGGGCCGGTTCGACAAGGGGGCAGTTTGAGCGGTTGGAACAGTTGCCTCCGCACTGGGCGCCCCAGAGCCCAGCCCCGGGCCGGCCGGCGGGGCCTCGCACTCCGCGCCCAGGCCAGGCGGGCTCCCCCGGGGCAGGCCTTGGCGCCGCCGCCCGCCTCGGGCCCTCGGGAGCGGCCCCGCGCGGCAGGCTCACCTCTAACGTGTCAAAAGCTCATGTTCGCCGCCGCTCGACCGACGTCTGTGTTCTGCTGGCCTGGCCAGGCCCGCCCAGCCGATCAGCGACGCTTCTCTCTGCAGCCCCAAGCTCCACTCTACGGACCTCCGCGCCAGGCTCCTCCCAGACACGTCAGGAGCTGCCTGGGTGTCCGAGGCCATTCTGTGACGCACGGGGGCGACCTTCGGAGCATGCGCAGGAGCGCGAGGGCGTGCGGGGTGGGGCTGTGGAGAGGCGGTGTCACAGGAGGCGGGGCAGAGCCCGGCGCGCTGACGTCAGGCTGGGGGTGGTGTTCTGCGCAAGCGCGTGCGGTCCCCGCCCATGCTGGGTGTTCGGCGTGTTCATTTTTTCCAGAAACTCTGCGCCCTGAACAACCTGGGGAACTTAGAGAGGGCAGCAGGCGCTCCAGAAGGAGACATGGGAGAAAGGACAGCTGCTTAGGGAGTGGAAACTTAGCGGAACAAAACAGTTTCAAAAATTTTCGGAACTTTTGCTGTATCATGCACAATACAATTCTAATTTCAGTGCTCTTAGGATTGGTTTTGACGGGTTTGGGGACACAATAACTTAAATGTGGAAGACATGCTTCAAAGTGAGACCGGGGTGAGCTTCGCAGGCCTGGTCAGGCTTCTGAGAGAGACAGATACAAACAGTGTAAGGTGAATGGTAAGAGAGACCCAAGTCAATGAAGATCAGAGAAGGGATTGATAAGGGTTTGTAGAAAAGAGAAAACCTTGAGCTAGACTCCGGAGGATATGGGGTTGAAAACAAATGGTAATAGCAATTCTGGCAATTGTGCTAAACACTTAGTCTGCATTATTGCATCCTCACAGTGACCCCATGAGATAGGTTCTGTTAATCACATTTTACAAATGAGGAAACAGACTCAGCAAAATGAAGTTGCCCAAGGTCCCTCAACTAGGAAGATGAGCATTCCAGATTCACATTCACCCAGTCTTGTTATCAACCACTTAGGTTTACACGCGTGGTCCATTTGCTCGCCGCTGACCAAATCAAAAGGGGCCATATGCTTTGGTAAAAACGAAAAGAGGGGTCTATTTAAAGCTAGTTCGGAGGAGGTAGAAGAGCCCCTATGCCTCAAATCACCATCTCCTTGTGCAAGTAAGGGTGTTTCATAGTAAGGAACAGAGGAAAGGGGAGTGCAGAGCAACAATGTAGATCTCCACACCTGTTCTATCTCTGCAGCTATCTTTGATTTATTTTTCTTTCTTGTGGAAAGGAGCCTGATCTCTGTCCTCCTGGGGCCTGTATCTGCACATTCTGTCACTTCTTTTGGGCTGAGGAGGAGAGAGGGAGTATTGATTATGTGTGCAGGAGGACGTTTAGAAAAGCTGCTTGGCCCTTTTTTTTAAAATCTAACCTTTAGGGGCTGGGGATTTAGCTCAGCAGCACAGCGCCTGCCTGGCAAGCTCAAGGTTGTGAGTTTCGGTTCCTGGTACCGGAAAAAAACCCAAAAAAAAAAAAAAAATCTAACTTTTAAAATTACGTTTTGTAGGGATGGTTACAGCCTAAATTGTCTAACTCTAGAAATCACACTATTACCCACTTCTGACCCTGAAATACAGGAGTACAGTACTAATAACACCATTGATTGCGTTTACTGGGCTAGAACACTACACTAAATTCCTTTTGTTGTTGTTGTTGTTTTGCTAAGCCTTTCCACACATTACCGCTCACAAGCAAGCCTGTGAAGCTAGAATTATTACCTCCATTTTATATATTATAAACAGAGAACCAGAAGAGCTAGGGTTTAAAACCAAGCAGGTCTTACTCCAAGGACAGTGGCCTGGGACATCTTGGAAATTCAGGTGCTGGGGCTCGGCTTCCCAGGCTGAAGCTGTGCTCTGGCTAATGAGATCATAGGCAGGGAGCTGATTCATGAAGGCTTTCCTATAGACCTGGTGCCAAAACAGAATAATCCCACCCCAAGAGGATAAAGATGCAGCTTTTGCCCTGCCTCCTGGCTGAAGTGCTAGTATACTCCTTGAGTCATCTAATGGCAGGCCATGCCCTTCCGAAAATATTGGTGTCATCTTCCAGGCCACTGTCCCTCCCACACAGCCTGAACCTAGAATTGGTATTTATGAGGGTGGATGTGTTGGTCTCGTCTCAATGAATGGGCTTCAGTAGGCAGAACTCTTGAGATGTCAAAGGCTGATCTCCCCCCTCCTAGTGGATTGAGCTTTCTCCCTTAGAGATGGGCCCTGGGGCTGAACAGTGTAATAGTCAACAATTGTTATTGCACCCCCTGCTCCAAAATGCCAAATCCAGGGAAAATAAAGTATAAAGGAAGATGGCAGACAGCCTCAAAAGGAAACAGAAGTTATAAAATCAGTTCTATGACAATAGAAAAGATGAGTGAGGCCTGCCCTACATTCTACCTTTACAAGCCATTGGGAAGAAGTTTGCTGAGGCCTAGGATCGAGGATAAGGTGTTTGTTGGATTGAGCCAACATGCATGAACATCCCAGGAGCTTCCCTGCCACAAACTCTGAGATACAGGAAACAGAGACAAGATTCCACAACTGGAAGGGGTAAAGGTTGACCAGTTGCCATACGGCAGGTCTGGGTACAAACCCAAACTCCAGCTAGTGGACTTTGGCCACCTCGCACATCCATACCAGGTTGTGTAGAGACCTGGTATGAAATTCCGAGATGGAGCTTATTTAACTCTATACTGAATTAGGTGGGAAAGATGCCTCAGAAAGGAAGGCTTGATTTAGTCTAGACTATATTCTTTTGCCCAGTATTTTTTGCTGAGCAATAAGGGAATAAATGAAGGTGGGCCAGGGACACCCAAACACTGGCTATTGCTAATGTTCTTCTGGACACACCCACCCAGTGTCCCATCACCACCTCCAGTTCTACAAGCCTAAACTTCAGAGAGATCCTCTTTTTGCCTTAGCTGAAATTTCCAAAACAATTTTCATGTTTCTGCCAATGGTGCCAGCCCGCATAAGACCACCCTTAACTGTCCCTCTCCTCAGCTCATTTTCCTTGTGGAGTCACCAAGCCCCAGTGACTTTCCTGTCACACACTCTTGTCAAATCCATTCACTTCACAGTTCTTTTTTCCCCCTCCACGAAGTCTGATATCTGTCAATTCTTCCCTCCACAAACTTTTCTCCTTCAAATTTCTTCTTGTTTCAGCCCAGCAATCCACACATAGCCATCAGCATAATCTTTTTAAAATCCCAATGTGTACATAGCACCTATGGCTCCAAATTTGTTTAGAAATCTCATTACTTTTGTGATAAAGTACAAACTATGCAGTGTGGCATTCAAGACTCCCAAAGCAACTCCAGCCCGCTTCCGCAGTCCACATCCTACAGTACATCTATCTGGGTGGAACCACACTCGCACTACCTGCTCAAAATGAATGGTTCCGTTCCTCTCTAGATCTGTCTCCATGACTCCTACTGCCCGGTGCACTACAGCTGCTCCACAGGCCTGCCTGTCCACCTTCCCCTCTGCCTTTTGAAGTCTCATTTATATCCGGTCTCTTCCAGGAAACTTTCTCTGACACCCAAAACCCCAAAGTGAGTTCTCCTTCTTCTGGGCCCCAGTAGAGCCCTCAGAGTTCACGATATATTAATGGACAGTCTTTTGGTCATGGAGGAGTTCAGTCTCTCCCAAGCAACCAAAATTCAGTTCAGGTACACATTGTCCTAAGAGCCCTCCAGCAACAGGTACTCAGCAAACACTTATTTAATATGCTGCAATGGGGGCTGGGGATTTAGCTCAGCAGCAAAGCGCCTGCCTGGCAAGCGCAAGGTCGTGAGTTCGGTTCCCAGTACCGGAGAAAAACCAAAAAAAAAGAAAAAAAAAAAATATGCTGCAATGAAAGTGAAGGGATGAATTGATGGTTTGGTGGCTATAACTTCAAATGCAAGACTTGGGGACCTTTCTGTCTCAAATACTGAGAGAAAAAAAATGTCTGGAATACTGAGAGGGAAAAAAAGAAGAGATTTTCACTGATATAAAACACTCAATGTAGATGATACTAGGTTGCAAAGGAATTGTGATTCATATTATACACAATTATGCCTTTTCTCTAGCCCAAATCTTCAACTCAATTTAAGGTATCTATGGTCCCCAATGCAGCATCTTTCTCTCTCTTTCTCTCTCTTTCTCTCTCTCTCTCTCTCTCTCTCTCTCTCTCTCTCTCTCTCTCTCTCTCTCTCTCTGGCTCCCTCCCTCCCACCCTCCTCCTTCTATTTTTTAAGCACTGGGTATTGAACCCAAGGTCTTCACTCTGACCTGAATCCTCAGCCCTTTTTTATTTTTTATTTTGAGACAGGATCTCGCTAAGCTGCTAAATTGTCCAGGCTGGACTCCAACTTGCACTTCTCCTGCCTCAGCCTCCTCGATTGCGGGGATTACTGGCAGTGCCACCATGCCCAGATCACCTTCTGTAATTAAAAACCACTAATAGCACATGCCAAGCAAGCACTGTGCCAGCAAGCTCCAGCTCCAGCCCGAGAAGTATTGTTTGTTTATTTGTTCGATTTTTCAGTACTGAGGATCAAACCCAGGGTCACTTACCACTGAACTACATCTCTAAAATTTTTTTTTTGAAGTAAGGTCTCTCTAAATTGTCTTGGAAGGACTTGCACTGGCAATCCTCCTGCTTCAACCTCCTTCAGTACTGGGATGACAGGTGTGCACCATCACATCCAGCTCCATGAAGTGACTTTATAGAGAGAAGAAAGTCTGTCATTTACTACTATGGATTTAGTGCTTGCTGGGTACAAGGCACTGTTCTAGGCCTTGAAGATTAACCATAACTTTAAAAAGTACCTCCTCTCCCCACCTCCATGGAACTATATTCTAATGGGGAGGAAAACAGACAATACCAAAATAGACACAATGGGTACTCTAAAGAAAAATAACCAGGATCAAAAAATAAGGCAGAGAGATTGCTCTCGGAGTGAAAACAGGGCTTAATGTTCATGAAATTTGCCCCTATAAAGCTTTCAAGGTCCTTTTAATAAAGGGCTGCTGTGTAAAGTCCAAAAGAGATGTGAAATTAAAGAATCAGCCAAGCATGGTGGTGCACACCTGTAATCTCAGCACTCAGGAAGGTGAGGCAGGAAGATCACTTAGAGAATTCAAGGTCAGCCTAACTACATAGTAAGACTCTCTATTAACAGAGAGAGGGGTGGGGAGAAAGAGGGGTTTAGATGACTTAAAGAGAGAAATATATTTTACTATTTCATCATAGTACCTGGCATACAGTAGGCATTCAATAAATGTTGGTTGGCTGAATGACTGGCTGGCTGATCTATACAATACCAGAGCCTGAAAATGATAGTCTCTCTTTTAAATTTTGGGGGGAGTCTTTGTTTGTTTGTTTTCAATACTGGAGATTGAACTGAGCTATATCCCCAGACCCTTTTTTATTCTTTATTTTGAGACAGGGTCCCATTATGTGATTAAATTGCCCAGGCTGGACTCAAACCTCCTGCCTCAGCCTCCCAGAGTGCTGGGATTACAGACATGCACCACTACCCTTCCAGTTTTGAATAGTATCCAATTCATGTTTGATTCAGAAATGCTCACTTCTAGGTAATCCCTAACCCTTGGCCCAGGCAGCCTGAACATCCCTGCCTAGGGTATCTCTATAACACCCTGAAGAGAAAGAAAGTTGCATCTCTTGTCTTTGTTGCATTTTCAATACCTTCTTGAGTAAGTGGCAGCTACCCACTACCCCAAACAGCTCAGGCTCCTAAACCCCAGCTCCTCCATCAGAATTTGCCCCCTCAGTTTCAAATTCCAGTAAGCTGTAAGTCAACAGAAGGACGGTTTGGTGGGGATGAAATTGCTATGTGGTGTTTTAGGTTCCAGGACTCCCACCCCATTTCCTGCCCTCTCCACTGTCTGCAAATGCCACCTGCTGTGGCCCGCGGGGGGGGGGGGGAGGGAGGCTCGGCAAGAGGTATTTCACCCTTCGCAGACCTCCACATATAGCTTGCTGACAGGCGACTCTTAGAGGTGAGAAAAAGACAATTTAGTTTAAGGCCCTGATTGCTGGTTCTGGGAAGGAAAGCGCTCTTGCCCTTATCCAGGGGTAACTAGA